CACATTTTTATGGGACTTGTTTGAATTGTTAATCTCCTTGCTCTTCTTTAAGAAGTATCAACAACTCCTGATTGAAATCCGTGGAATTAGATATCGGTTTTACATTAGATGCGACTTTTTCTTTCGCAGTTTAAATGTATAATAAGTTCTTTTTTTTTACTTTCATGCAGGAAAAAGGAAAAAAAAATTAATTATTTTAATAATCGCAATCTTTGGCGCTGTCGTGTTATTGATTCTTGGTGCAATGTTCATACTTTTGCTACGAAGAAAAGGTCTAAAGAGTAAGATTGTTGGTTCCGTCATTGATTTATCATTATTATTTTTTTATTTTAGCGGGATTTATCACATAATTGTTATATTTTTTTTTCATATCTAACATTTAAATTTTAATATTCGTATGTGTTGCCATCAAACCTTCAGATCACATCAAAAATTTTCCTATTATTATGTTTCGTTTTGTTTTTTTTTTTAATGAAATTTGAGCCTGAAGGGCTACTTCACTTCTTATAGATATACGTCATTGCCTATGCATGAAAAGATATATTTAATATTCTTAAAATTAAGATGGTTACATTTTTTATGTGATACCAAAGATTTGAGTGGTACAAATGTTAAATGCAAAGTTTAGTGTTAGATATCTAAATAGATAGGAATTTTGTGGTATGTATGTAAATTCCCCTTTTTATTATTAATTGCAAGATTAAGCGATAATTTATGCTTGGCTCTGAATCGTAGGACTAGGGGCCAAGAAGACGGGACACAGGAAAAATACTAATTCTCTATTATTTGAACTAAGTGAACTTAGAAACGCCACAAATAATTTCTCGGAGAAAAATAAGCTGGGAGAAGGTGGATTTGGGCGAGTATACAAGGTACTTGTGCAAATAAAATGTTTGGCAAGGGCTAATTTCCAATTTACTTAAGAGAAAAGAAAGATAATGCTTTATTGAATTAAATCTGAAGCAGGGACTGCTCGGAAATGGGCAGCAAATAGCAGTGAAAAGGCTATCTGGAACATCAAGGCAAGGACTCGTAGAAATGAAAAACGAGGTGCTTTTTGTGGCTAAGCTTCAGCACGGGAATCTTGTAAGATTGCTGGGTTGTTGTCTGGAAGAGAACGAGAAGCTTCTAGTTTATGAGTATCTCACTAACACCAGCCTTGATAAATTCTTATTTGGTATGCTTTTATTGTCTCTCTACTCATGCATATAACAGTTTTTTTTTTTTTTTGGAAAAATAGTCTATCAGGATATCCTGATACTTTTTTTACAGGATTGGGGCTAATTTTATATAGACAGAATATTTGGGAAGATTACACTTTTATAAACTCAAAATCACAAAAATACAACTCTTAGACTCACCCAAACACTATTTAGAAGCTCACAAAATTTTTCGTAAAACTTGATTCATAATTCATAGGAGTATAGGTGTTTACACAAGCTTAGAAGTAATCAACGCCATACATAATTCACCAACAAAGCTAATCTCGACTCTTCATTCTTCACCTACTATAACCACTAGACACACATGCATTGTTGGAATGGAGAAGCTTTTAGGAAATGACAAAGGCTAAAAAAAATAACTTATGGAAGAAGCTTCACTCTTATTTAACACCTTTACTTGGCTTAATACAAACTCAAAGACTCCACCCCTATTTATACTAGTGACACCTCCTAAATTAATGGCTAGGATTGTGCCACCACAATTACAATCCAATGGTTACAAATAATTCCACACCTACCACACAATAATTCAACACCTACCACACCTACCACACCTACTACACAATATTTTCATACCTACCACATATTCTAGAATAAGCTTATAGAAATTAAGCTTTATTTAAACAACTAAAAC